ATAAGCTACTATAAGCCTGTGTAAATTAGTTAGAGTTGGCTAATTGTGAAGTTAATGAGCTAAATTATTATTAAAATTTTCAGCTTTGGTACTGAAGAAAAAATATTATATTGCATAAATCAAAACTACAAAATTTTCAAGATTATGTTATGCATGATATATATATATATATATATATGACGTATAGTCAAACTTAAAAAGAAAAGAGTACTGTGTTATTTGACTTCATAAAGTTACAAATGTTTTTTCATTCATACGCTCTACTCTTAATAAGTACCAAAAATTCATGGCATCTAAAGTTCTTAGACTCATGCTTTATTTGGGACGGCTTTTTTACTACTTTTAAAAGCAACTTTTTAGTATAAAATTTTTATTTTTGATACTAAAAAGTTAATTTAAGAAGTAGTAAGAAAGCCGTCCCAAGCGAACCCTCAGGCTTGGTCTGGGACAATTTTTTTGCTTTTTAACTTCTTAAAGTAACTTTTGAACAAAAAAATGATTTTCTAAGAAATAGCAAGAAAATTGTCCCAAATAAACCCTCAAAATCATGAAAGCACATGCTTATGAAGATTACAAGTTCGAATTCTTGAGAAACTTTATTATAAATGCCATTCTTTTTCACGCAATCAAGGAAATCAGCTTAAAATATTTCCTTTCGATTATCACCCAACTAAACTAATTAATGTTCAAGCTTGATAATAAACAAGATGTGTAACATTCAAGACATTAGGCTTAAAAATGGCTCAAATGTTTGTGTAAGAAGGGGAATTGTCCAGATGATTCAAAACAAGTCCTCGGCAAAGGGAAAAATTATTCTGTGCGGACACCATGTGGCGTTTGGAGGACAATCAGAATGCACCACTTCATATTTTTGTTCGGTACCTATGCTTGGTATCGGATGACGCGACGCATTCTAGTTGATCTATGAACTGTCCGGCATCCGCACAGAATAATTTCTTCAGCAAAGGATATAAGAATTCAAAAAGTATCAGTAAGGTTCACCATCTGAAAATGGAAATTGATAGCCAAAAAACCCAGTTGCTTCTATCGAGCTTCAAAATATTATCACAAAGTGGTGGTATAATGATGGGTTCACTCAAATGTGGAGGGTGAAAAACAGTAAAAGAGAATGATGACAAGGCATTCAGATGGGGAAAGTTAAAAATAAATAAAATAACAAACATTCATTTCATTCATCACATTCTGATATCCTCTCCCCAACTGTGAAAAAAGGCTTTGCAGTAAGCTAGCTATAATTCCTAAACACTTTCTGAAGCATCTCCGTGGGATTCACCATCCTTTTTCCCATCAGCAGCAGCAAGTTTCTCAGCTTCCAGCCTCTGTTCCAATGCTCTTGCCCCTCGTTCTCTGCCAAAGGCCACAGAGGAGGACATAATTTATTGCATTATTCACCCACAATACAGTTTGAAAGAAAATTTGGTTTCAGCGAGAACAAGGTGCTAAACATAACAAGCTAAATTAAAAAATACCTAAGTTTCCATATATGATTTTGGCTAATTTTTTGGGGAAGAATTTTCATCTGCTAACTTTTTTTTTTTGGGAACGAGGTATCCACCTGCTATCACCCAGAAAGGACGCTTGGCGGCGTGACTAATTCTCAGCTGACCAAAAAGAGGCACTCACCCTAGAAACCTTCTGACCCACACTTGATTGGGCCCCACTTAAGAGGTGTTGCCGCTCGAGGGGAATCGAGCAAGGATTGGGGGTTCCCAACCATACTCGCCCACCAACCAAGCTAAGCAACGGTGGGTGACGACGACTCCTTTTTATTATATTTTTGGTTCTCGTGGCTCCCCTGGTTCACGTGGTTCAGTTTCCTATTTTTCCAGCTGTTTTTTGTTTCAATTTGGCAGCAGATTAATGGGAAAAAGTAGCATTTCTGGTTTGTTGGGCAGATCCAGAAGCTCAATGTGGCTGATTTGGGTTCAGCTTTAGGACTTTAGCTTAAGTGGCTCTTGTATGATATTTGGAGTCTGAAAGAAAAAAAGTTTATTTTAAATTGTTATATTTTCAGAACATTTCATATTTTTGTCCGACCACCTGCCCCCACCACCATAGGTGCTCTTAGTTTCCAAGCCGGATTATGACAACCATAAGTCTTCTTTTAGGTGAATTCTTCCCCTTTCTTCATTTCTCTTTTTCTTATTGTCTTCCTTCTAGGTGAATTCTTCCCCTTTCTTTCTTTCATTTCTTCTTAATCTTCTAACCAGTTTAATTGGTAAAATTTGCTAAAATCTAGTTTAATTTATTTTACATGAAATTTCAATCATCTGCCTAACCTTTATAATATCTAAATTTATATTTATTTTCTAATAGACAGTCATGAATCATTCATCTGAATTCGATTTTAATTAAGATTTTATCATATTTTTTTGTTTTCATCGAACATGGTAAATAGTTATTTTATGATTAATAGCCTGGATGCTATAAAAATTGCAGGCTCGTTAAATTGTTTGAATATAAATTTACATTACATGTTAAATCAATTATGTAACACTGCCATTGTCAAGTCCCAAGTCCTAGATGAGAAAAGTGGAGGGTTGCATTAGGTAATCGATAGCCAGCGTAAAATTTGTCGAACAATAATGACATGAATCCTTTAAGAAATTGTGTTAATGCTAGGGCGTCCCCTGGAAGCGACGCGCTGTATGGCCTGAATACAGTGACAAGTGTGCAAGGGCCGCTGCACCGGCGCCCGGGTGCAGTGTTAAATAGGCAAGGGTTCCCACATCAAGGACGGATGTGGGCAAAGAAGCTAGTCCATGAAACTAAAATTAGGATAGGAACTTGGAATATAGGTTCCCTTACAGGAAAATTAATGGAATTAATAGATATTATGATTCATAGGAAGTTAAATATTTTGTGCATTCAGGAAACTAAATGGGTTGAAGATAAGGCTAAGGAAATTGATAGTTTAGGATTTAAACTTTGGTATTCGGGTAGAAGTCGTACTAGAAATGGTGTAGGTGTTATTATAGATAAGAGTTTAAAGGATAATGTTATAAAAATTAATAGGATTGGAGATAGAATTATAGCTTTAAAGATTGTTGTTGAGGATAAGATTGTTAATATTATAAGTGCTTATGCTCCTCAAGTAGGTTTGGATATGAGTTCTAAATTAAATTTTTGGAATGACTTAGAAGAATTAATACAAAATATACCTCTTGAAGAAAGAGTTTTTATTGGAGGAGATTTAAATGAACATGTTGGTAGAGAGGTAGATGATTTTAAAAGCATTCATGATGGC